AACCCCCCCAAATCCCCCAACCGCCCCCGTCCCCGCACCCTCTGCAGGAGCAGCCCGCGGGCGATGGAGCGCGCGCAGAGCCCCAGGGACAGCGCGCACACCGCCGTCACCAGCACGTCAAAGCACAGCCGCAGCCAGCTGTCACCTGCGGGGACACCGCGTCACCGCCACCGCGGGGACAGGGACACCGAGGGGATGGGGACATCGAGGGGACAGGGACAGGGGACACCGCGTCACCGCCGCTGACAGGGACACCGCGGGGACGGGGACACCGAGGGGACAGGGACAGGGGACACCGCGGGGACGGGGACACCGAGGGGACAGGGACAAGGGGATGGGGACACCACGGGGACAGGGACACATCAGGGACAGGGGACACTCCCAGGGCACAGGTGGCATCCCACAGCCTGTTGTCACCTCCCTGGGACAGGTGCCCGCTGTCACCTCTGCTGGTGTGGCAGGGTGGTGGCACTCCCAGGGACACCCCCCCGGCCCAGTGTCACCCGCTGTCACCCGCTGTCACCCGTTGTCACCCAGTGTCACCTCTGCGGGGCAGCGAGGGGTGGTGGCACTCCCAGGGACACCCCCTGGCCCAGTGTCACCCAGTGTCATCCAGTATCACCCGCTGTCACCTCTGCCAGGCACAGCAGGGTGGTGGCACTCCCAGGGACACCCCCCGGCCCAGTGTCACCCGGTGTCACCCGGTGTCACCCGGTGTCACCCGCTGCCACCCGGTGTCACCCGGTGTCACCTCTGCGGGGCAGCGAGGGGTGGTGGCACTCCCGGATGGCCGCGTGCGTGTCCAGGCGGATCCGCACCCGCCCGCTGTGGGCGCTGTTGTCAAACGTGACCTGGGGACACGGGTGGCACTGTCACTGCCACTACCACTGCCACTGTCACCGTCACTGCCACCGTCACCGTCACTGTCACGGCACTCGCTGGCTGCCCCCCGGGCCCGCAGAGGGACAGAGGGACAGGTGAGGGACAGAGGGACACTCCAGAGGGACACGGGGGGGACACTCAGGGACACTCGGGGGACACTTGGGGACACGTGGGGAGGCTCTGGGGGGCCTGGGGACACTTGGGGACAGCTGGGGTTACACTTTGGGACACTTGGGGAGGCTGTGGGGGGTCTGGGGACACTTGGGGATGCTTGGGGACACCTGGGGACACTTGGGGACACCTAGGGGACACTTTAGGATATTTAGGGACACCAAGGGGACAACTGGGGACACTTTGGGGACACTTGGGGACACTCGGGGGACACTTGGGGAAGCTCTGGGGTGTTTGGGGACACTTGGGGACACTCGGGGGACACTTGGGGAGGTTCTGGGGACACTCAGGGGACACTTGGGGACACTGGGGGAGGCTCTGGGGTATCTGGGGACACTCGGGGACACTCGAGGGACACTTGGGGAGGCTCTGGGGACACTCAGGGAACACTTGGGGACACTTGGGGACACGTGGGGAGGCTGTGGGGGGCCTGGGGACACTTGGGGACGCGTGGGGGACACTTTGGGATATTTGGGGACACTTGGGGAGGTTCTGGGGACACTCAGGGGACACTTGGGGACACTGGGGGAGGCTCTGGGGTATCTGGGGACACTCGGGGACACTCGAGGGACACTTGGGGAGGCTCTGGGGACACTCAGGGAACACTTGGGGACACTTGGGGACACGTGGGGAGGCTGTGGGGGGCCTGGGGACACTTGGGGACGCGTGGGGGACACTTTGGGATATTTGGGGACACTTGGGGAGGTTCTGGGGACACTCAGGGGACACTTGGGGACACTGGGGGAGGCTCTGGGGTATCTGGGGACACTCGGGGACACTCGAGGGACACTTGGGGAGGCTCTGGGGACACTCAGGGAACACTTGGGGACACTTGGGGACACGTGGGGAGGCTGTGGGGGGCCTGGGGACACTTGGGGACGCGTGGGGGACACTTTGGGATATTTGGGGACACTTGGGGAGGTTCTGGGGACACTTGGGGAGGCTCTAGGGACACTCCAGAGGGACACGGGGGGGACACTCAGGGGACACTCAGGGGACACTCAGGGGACACTGGGGACACCCAAGGGACATTGGGGGGGCATTTGGGGACACCCAGGGGACACCTGAGGACACCCAGGGGACAGTGAGGGAACACTGGGGACACTTTAGGGTATTTGGGGACACTCAGGGGACACTTGGGGGACACTTGGGGAGGCTCTGGGGTGTTTGGGGACACTTGGGGACACTTGGGGAGGCCCTGGGGACACTTGGGGACACTCAGGGGACACTGGGGGACACTTGGGGAGGCTCTGGGGTGTTTGGGGACACTTGGGGACACTCAGGGGACACTCGGGGGACACTTGGGGGACACTTGGGGGACACTTTGGGATATTTGGGGACACTTGGGGAGGCCCTGGGGACACTTGGGGACACTCAGGGGACACTTGGGGACGCTCGGGGACACTGACGGTGACGCTGAAGGTGTAGCAGTCGGGGATCTCGTGGTTCAGCAGCGTCTGGATGTTGATGGCCTTGAGCTGGAACTCCACGGTGACATTGATCAGCCTGAGGGGATAAAAAACACCCCCTGAGCCCCAAAAATCCCAAAAAAAGGGGGAAATTCCACCTCAAAAGCACAAAAAAGGGAAAATTCCACCTCAAAAACCCAAAAAAAAAGGAAAATTCCACCTCAAAAACACAAAAAAAAGGAAAAATTCCACCTCAAAACCCCAAAAAGGAGAAAATTCCACCTCAAAACCACAAAAAAGGGAAAATTCCACTGCAAAAACACAAAAAAACAATGAAAAAAGGAAAAATTCCCCCTCAAAACCACAAAAAGTGGAAATTCTACCTCAAAAACACATAAAAAGGGAAAATTCCTCCTCCAAATCCCCAAAAAAGGGAAAATTCCACCTCAAAATGCCCAAAAAATCAATGAAAAAGAGAAAATTCCACCTCAAAACCCCAAAAAGGGGAACGTGGCCCCAAAGATCTCCATGACCCCAAAACATCTCCATGACCCCAAAATGTGGTGGCCATGGGTCTCGTTGGGGACAGCCAGGTACTGCGGGGACAGGGACACGGGGCTGGGGTGGCACCTTGATGGCCCCAAACCCCCCCATGGCCCCAAAACATCTCATGATCCCAAAACATCTCCATGAACCCAGAACACCCCATGGCCCCAAAACATCTCTGTGACCCCAAAACGTGGTAAAACATGGTGTCCAAGGGTCTCGTTGGGGACAGCCAGGTACTGGGGGACAGGGACACGGGGCTGGGGTGGCACCTCAGTGTCCCCAAACCACCCCATGGCCCCAAACCACCCCATGGCCCCAAAACATCTCTGTGTCCCCAAAGATCTCCATGACCCCAAAATGTGGTGGCCGTGGGTCTCGTTGGGGACAGCCAGGTACTGCGGGACAGGGACACGGGGCTGGGGTGGCACCTCAGTGTCCCCAAACCACCCCATGGCCCCAGAACATCTCCATGAACCCAAAACATCTCTGTGTCCCCAAAATGGGTCTCACTGGGGACAGCCAGGTACTGGGGGACAGGGACACAGTGTCCCTGTGCCACCTTCTCGAGGACGAAGGCCAGGAGCTTCAGGAGGTCCCAATGTCCCCAGCCCCTCCTGGTGTCCCCGTGCCACCTTCTCGAGCACGAAGGCCAGGTGCTCCAGGAGGTCCCGATGTCCCCAACCCCTCCGGTGTCCCCAGCCCCTCCCGGTGTCCCCAGCCCCTCCCGGTGTCCCCGTGCCCCCTTCTCGAGGACGAAGGCCAGGTGCTCCAGGAGGTCCCCGCGGGTGTAGACGGCCTGGGTGTCGTCGGCGCCGTCCTCGTAGCCCTTGAGGAACAGGTGCTTGAAGGCCACCGTGTTGTCCTCCTTGAAGGCCACCACCAGCTGGTTGCTGAGCCCGAACAGGATCAGCTGGGGACAAAGGCCACCCCCTCTGTCACCACCTGTCCCACCGTGGTGACACTGCTGCGTTTTGTCCCAAAACGGTGCCACAGCTTGGGGACAAAGGCCACCCCCTTGTGAGCCTCTGTCCCACCATGGTGGCACTGCAGTGTTTTGTCCCAAAATGGTGTCACCCCGTGCCTGGGGACAACGGCCACCGCTGCCATCAGGCCCTGTCCCACCACAGTGACACCGCCAGGCTTTGTCCCAGGACACTCCAGTGTCCCTCTCAAAGTGTCCCCATGTCCCTGTGTCCCCTCCCCGCTGGCCCTGGCACCTCTTCCCTCCGGGTTTCGTTGGGGACAGCCAGGTACTGCGGGACAGGGACACGGGGCTGGGGTGGCACCTCAGTGTCCCCAAACCACCCCATGGCCCCTGAACATCTCCATGAACCCAAAACATCTCCGTGGCCCCAAAGATCTCCATGACCCCAAAACATCTCCATGACCCCAAAATGTGGTGGCCATGGGTCTCGTTGGGGACAGCCAGGTACTGCGGGGACAGGGACACGGGGCTGGGGTGGCACCTTGATGGCCCCAAACCCCCCCATGGCCCCAAAACATCTCATGATCCCAAAACATCTCCATGAACCCAGAACACCCCATGGCCCCAAAACATCTCTGTGACCCCAAAACGTGGTAAAACATGGTGTCCAAGGGTCTCGTTGGGGACAGCCAGGTACTGGGGGACAGGGACACGGGGCTGGGGTGGCACCGCAGTGTCCCCAAACCACCCCATGGCCCCAAAACATCTCTGTGTCCCCAAAGATCTCCATGACCGCAAAATGTGGTGGCCGTGGGTCTCGTTGGGGACAGCCAGGTACTGCGGGACAGGGACACGGGGCTGGGGTGGCACCTCAGTGTCCCCAAACCACCCCATGGCCCCAGAACATCTCCATGACCCAAAAAAATCTCTGTGTCCCCAAAATGGGTCTCACTGGGGACAGCCAGGTACTGGGGGACAGGGACACAGTGTCCCTGTGCCACCTTCTCGAGGACGAAGGCCAGGAGCTTCAGGAGGTCCCAATGTCCCCAGCCCCTCCTGGTGTCCCCGTGCCACCTTCTCGAGCACGAAGGCCAGGTGCTCCAGGAGGTCCCGATGTCCCCAACCCCTCCGGTGTCCCCAGCCCCTCCCGGTGTCCCCGACCCCAAAATGTGGTGGCCATGGGTCTCGTTGGGGACAGCCAGGTACTGCGGGACAGGGACACGGGGCTGGGGTGGCACCTCAGTGTCCCCAAACCACCCCATGGCCCCAGAACATCTCCATGAACCCAAAACATCTCTGTGTCCCCAAAATGGGTCTCACTGGGGACAGCCAGGTACTGGGGGACAGGGACACAGTGTCCCTGTGCCACCTTCTCGAGGACGAAGGCCAGGAGCTTCAGGAGGTCCCAATGTCCCCAGCCCCTCCTGGTGTCCCCGTGCCACCTTCTCGAGCACGAAGGCCAGGTGCTCCAGGAGGTCCCGATGTCCCCAACCCCTCCGGTGTCCCCAGCCCCTCCCGGTGTCCCCAGCTGCCCGGTGCCACCCCCTCGGGCTGGTGTCACCTCGGGCTGGTGGCACCTCAGCCTGGTGTCCCCCCTGCCCGGTGCCACCCCCTCGGGCTGGTGTCACCTCGGGCTGGTGCCATCCCCTCGGCCCGGTGTCCCCCCGCTCAGTGCCACCCCACTCAGTGTCCCCCCGCTCGGTGCCACCACCTTGGCCCGGTGTCCCCCCACTCAGTGCCACCCCCTCAGCCCGGTGTCACCTCGGGCCGGTGTCCCCCCGCTCGGTGCCACCCCCTTAGCCCAGTGTCCCCCCACTCGGTGCCACCCCCTCGGGCTGGTGTCACCTCAGCCCGGTGTCACCTCGGGCCGGTGTCCCCCCGCTCAGTGCCAGCCCCTCGGCCCGGTGTCACCCCCCTGCCGCAGTGTCCCCTGTCCCCATTAACCGCTGTGGGCTCCGTGTCCCCGGTGTCACCGCTGTGCCCGTGTCCCCGCCGCCGTCCCGGTGTCCAGCCCGGTGGATATTGTCCCCCGTACCCGTTAACGCCCCCGGCCGGGTCTCGGGTGTCCCCTGGCCCCGCTCGGTTCCCGGTTATCCCTGCCCCGTGTCCCGCTGCTCCCGGTACCGCATTCCCCCATCCCCATTCCCTGTCCCCATTCCCGTTCCCTGTCCCCATTCCCGGTCCCCGTTCCCATTCCCATTCCCGGTCCCCATTCCCTGTCCCCATCCCCTGTCCCTGTTCCCATTCCCTGTCCCCATTCCCATTCCCGCTCCCTGTCCCCGCTCCCTGTCCCTATTCCCGGTCCCTCTCCCCATTCCCATTCCCTGTCGCCATTCCCATTCCCTGTCCCCATCCCCAGACCCTGTCCCCGCTCCCCGTCTCCTCTCACCGGACGCCGCCGCCATCGCTCCGCTCCACCCCGGCCCTCACGTGACGGGGAAAACACCGCGCTGCCGCCGCCCACCAATCGCAGCCCGCGCTCGCTGCCTGATTTGCATAGCCACGCCCGCTGGGCTGGCCCCGCCCCAGTACTGGTTCGCTCCCAGTTCGCTCCCAGCGCTCCCAGTAAGAGCGGCCCCTGCGGGGAGAGCGCTCCCAGTAAGAGCGGCCCCGGCGGGGAGAGCGCTCCCAGCGCCCGCCCGCTGCTGCCGGCATCGCTGCCGGGGCCGCTCGGGAACCCGCCCGGGGCAGAGCGCGGCTGCTTTTGGGGGTCGGCACCGCCCGGACCGGGCTGGGAGCGGCGGCAGCGAGAGGGGGACTCGGGAGGAGGAGGAGGAGGAGATCCTATCTGGTTGAGCACGTCAGAATCCACACAGGAGAGAGGCCCTACGAGTGCGACAAATGCAAGAAGAGGTTCCAGACCAGCTCCGCTCTCCTCGTGCACCGGCGCACTCACACCGGGGAGAAGCCCTTCCTCTGCCCCGACTGCGGGAAGGGGTTCAGTCAGAAGTCCAACCTCATCACCCACCGGCGCATCCACACCGGCGAGAAGCCCTACGAGTGCGGGCAGTGCGGGAAGAGCTTCAGGACCAACTGCCAGCTGGTTGCCCACCAGCGGATGCACACGGACGAGCGGCCCTACGAGTGCGGGCAGTGCGGCAAGAGCTTCAGGACAAACGGCCAGCTGGTTCTCCACCGGTGGATCCACACGGGAGAGCGGCCCTACAAGTGCGGGCAGTGCGGGATGAGCTTCGCCCTGCGCTCCCGGCTGATTTTACACCAGAGGAGCCACCCGGGGCATTGGTGGGGGTCCGAGGGGGAGAGACCCTCCTGGAGCTCGGAGCTGGGGGTCCACCAGCAGCTCCAGGAGGGGGGGAATCCCCACAAGTGCTCGGTGTGTGGGAAGAGCTTCAGGTGTAAATCCTCCTTGGGCTACCACTTCCGAATCCACACCGGGGAGCGGCCCTACGTGTGCGGGCAGTGCGGCAAGAGCTTCAGCACCAACTCCTGCCTGATTGTGCACCGCAGGATCCACACCGGGGAGAGGCCCTACGAGTGCGGGCAGTGCGGCAAGGGCTTCACCTCCAACACGGAGCTGACCGTGCACCGCAGGCAGCACACGGGGGAGCGGCCCTACGCGTGTCCCCAGTGCGGCAAGAACTTCAGCCACAGCAGCCACCTGATTGTCCACCTGAGGTGCCACACCGGGGAGAGGCCCTACGAGTGCGGGCAGTGCGGGAAGAGCTTCAGGACGCGCTCGTGCATGATGAAGCACCAGATGATCCACACCGGGGAGAGGCCCTACGAGTGCGGGCAGTGCGGCAAGAGCTTCATGGTGAGATTCCAGCTGACGGTCCACCAGAGGATCCACACCGGGGAGAAGCTCTACGAGTGTGGGCGGTGTGGGAAGAGCTTCCTGGTGAGATCGCAGCTGACGGTCCACCAGAGGAGCCACACCGGGGAGAGGCCCTACCTGTGCCCCCAGTGTGGGAAGACCTTCAGCACGAGCTCCTACCTGATCATCCATCAGAGGATCCACAGCGGGGAGAGGCCCTTCAAGTGTGGGGAGTGCGGGAAGAGCTTCATCAAGCGCTCCATCCTCATCTACCACCAGAGGATCCACACAGGGGAGAGGCCCTACGAGTGCGACGTGTGCGGGAAGGGGTTTCGCACCAGCTCCCGCCTCCTCGTGCACCAGCGCACTCACACCGATGAGAAGCCCTTCCTCTGCCCCGACTGCGGGAAGGGCTTCAGGGACAACTCCACCCTCGCCATCCACCGGCGCACCCACACCGGGGAGAGGCCCTACGAGTGTCCCCAGTGCGGGAAGAGCTTCAGCATGAGCTCCTACCTGACTGTCCACCAGAGGAGCCACACGGGGGAACGGCCCTACGAGTGTGGGCAGTGCGGCAAGAGCTTCACGACGAGCGCCGGCCTGGTGTGCCACCAGAGGAGCCACACCGGGGAGAGGCCCTACAAGTGTGGGCAGTGTGGGAAGAGCTTCAGCACGAGGTCCTGCCTGGCTTCCCACCAGAAGAGCCACTGCGGGGAGAAGCCCTTCGAGTGCGTGCTGTGCGGGAAGAGGTTTCGGGTTAACTCCACGCTCCAGAGGCACCAGAGCGCGCACGCGGGGGAGAAGCCCTTCCGCTGCCCCGACTGCAATCGGGGCTTCAAGCTCCACACCTACCTGGTCAAGCACCGGCTCATCCACTCCGGGCAGGGGCCCCGTGAGTGTCCCCAGTGTGGGAAGAGCTTCTCGGCGAGCTCCCTCTTGGCCAGACACCAGTGGAAGTACCACTGAGGGCAGCGCCGTGAGTGCCCAGAGCGCGGGAAGAGCTCCGTGCGCTGCTCCAGCTCCAAACCCCACGGGAGGATCCGCGCTGGATGATCCCCAGGGAGCCCCGGTGATCCCTGATCCCTGTTGGTCTTCCCTGGCTCCCCGTGGTCACCTGGGCACATCCACAGTCCAACATCAGGCATCCGTTGTGGAGAGCTGGATTTGTCAACTTCTGACCCTAGAAAAATTTTAGTTTTTCGGTTTTGTGGTGGTCTTAAGCAACACTGGATAACCTCGGAGGTCTTCTCCAACATCAATCCATTGTTTTATTTATTTCTGGCCCACGGGCATCTTCCACAGCGAAATGGAGTGGGATTGGGGCAAACCCCAGAATTTTGGAGAGAGTGGGGTGGAAACTCCTCCAAAAAAGGTTCTTCCCACCCGTCCAAGCCCGTGGATGCTCTGGCAGCAGGGACATGTAAATCCTTTCGTTTTGGTTTTGAAATGAAAAGGTTTCTGTTCATCCCGTTGAAAGCCCTGAAGTTGAAGTAGAAATAAAGATGTTGATGTGAGGCATGGGTGGGGACACGTGGGGGGCAGCGGCATGGGGACGTGGATGTGGGGGATGTGGTGGGACATGGACGTGGATGAGGACATGGCCATGGATGGGGACATGGTGGGACATGGACATGGATGTGGACATGGCCATGGATGGGGACATGGTGGGACATGGACATGGATGTGGACATGGCCATGGATGAGGACATGGCCATGGATGGGGACATGGTGGGACATGGCCATGCAGGGGGACATGGCCATGGATGGGGACATGGTGGGACCTGGACATGGACATGGATGGGGACGTGGTCATGGATGGGGGCATGGTGGGACATGGTGGTGCATGGGGACATGGTTGGACACGGCCATGGATGGGGACATGGACATAGATGAGGACATGGCCATGGATGAGGACATGGTGGGATATGGACATAGATGAGGACATGGTGGGACATGGACATAGATGAGGACATGGCCATGGACGGGGACATGGTGGGACATGAACATGCATGGCGACATGGACATGCTGGGAACATGGCCATGGATAGGGACATGGTGGGACATGAACATGCATGGCGACATGGACATGCTGGGAACATGGCCATGGATGGGGACATGGTGGGACATGGCCATGCATGGGGATGTGGACATGGCCATGGATGGGGATGTGGCCATGGATGAGGACATGGCCATGGGTGGGGACATGGTTGGACATGGCCATGGATGGGGACATGGACATGAATGAGGACATACCCATGGATGGGGACATGGACATGGATGGGCACATGGCCATGGATGGGAACATGGTGAGACATGGCCATGCATGGGGATGTGGACATGGATGGGCACATGGCCATGGAGGGGACATGGTGGGACGTGGACATGGCCATGGATGGGGATGTGGCCATGGATGAGGACATGGCCATGGGTGGGGACATGGTGGGACGTGGACATGGCCATGGATGGGGATGTGGCCATGGATGAGGACATGGCCATGGGTGGGGACATGGTGGGACATGGCCATGCGTGGGGACATGGACATGAATGAGGACATACCCATGGATGGGGACATGGACATGGATGGGCACATGGCCATGGAGGGGACATGGTGGGACGTGGACATGGCCATGGATGGGGATGTGGCCATGGATGAGGACATGGCCATGGGTGGGGACATGGTTGGACATGGCCATGGATGGGGACATGGACATGAATGAGGACATACCCATGGATGGGGACATGGACATGGATGGGCACATGGCCATGGATGGGAACATGGTGAGACATGGCCATGCATGGGGATGTGGACATGGATGGGCACGTGGCCATGGATGGGGACATGGTGGGACATGGCCATGGATGGGGATGTGGACATGGATGCTGGTCCAGATGGACACCAGACCATGGGTCCCAGCTGGATGGACACCAGGCCATGGATCCCAGCTGGATGGACACTGGTCCAGATGGACACCAGACCATGGGTCCCAGCTGGACACTGGTCCAGATGGACACCAGACCATGGGTCCCAGCTGGATGGACACTGGTCCAGATGGACACCAGGCCATGGGTCCCAGCTGGACACTGGTCCAGATGGACACCAGACCATGGATCCCAGCTGGATGGACACTGGTCCAGATGGACACCAGGCCATGGGTCCCAGCTGGACACTGGTCCAGATGGACACCAGACCATGGATCCCAGCTGGATGGACACTGGTCCAGATGGACACCAGGCCATGGATCCCAGCTGGACACTGGTCCAGATGGACACCAGACCATGGGTCCCAGCTGGATGGACACTGGTCCAGATGGACACCAGACCATGGATCCCAGCTGGATGGACACTGGTCCAGATGGACACCAGGCCATGGATCCCAGCTGGACACTGATCCAGATGGACACCAGACCATGGGTCCCAGCTGGACACTGGTCCAGATGGACACCAGACCATGGGTCCCAGCTGGACACTGCTCTGGGTGACCCCCGGCCCTGCAGCCCCCCAGCCTGGCCAGCCCCCAGCCCAGATGACCACCAGCCTGGCCACCCCCTGGCCCACCAGCCCACCCCAGTAGCCCCAACCCCAAAACCCCCCAGAATAAACCCAATTCCAGAACATCAGCTCCGGGTGGTGCCTGCAGAGCGAGGGGGAAACTGAGGCACGGGAGGGGACTTCAGGACCCACCCTGGAGACCCCAAAACCAGCACCCACCCCCCAAATTGTCACCGCCCAGGTGACAGTTGGGGGGTCATTAGGGTCATAGGTGGGGACAGGGTCATGGGTGGGGGCTGATGGATTATGGTGGCATCTCCATGAGCGTCCTGTGGTGGCACCTCCGTGGCCACCTGTCCCTTGGTGTCACCTCACTTGTGTTACCTCCATGGCCTCGGTGTCACCTCACTCATAGTGTCACCTCCATGTCCATGTGTCCCTTGGTGTCACCTCAGTCATGGTGGCACCTCCATGGCCACCTGTCCCTTGGTGTCACCTCAGTCATGGTGGCACCTCCATGTCCCTCGGTGTCACCTCACTCCTGGTGTCACCTCCATGGCCGTGTGTCCCTCAGTGTCACCTCACCTGTGGTGCCACCTCCATGGCCTCGGTGTCCCATCCCGGGACCCCCAAGTGTCACATCGTGGGGGAGGGGGACCCCAGGAGCCACCGCGACCCCTTTTGGGGGGTGACCCACGGTGTCCCCGTGGTGTCACCGGCGCGTCCCCGGCGGGAGGAGGAGGAGGAGGAGGAGGAGGAGGAGAGGAGGAAGAAGAGGAGGAGAGGAGAGGAGGGGAGGTGTCCCCCTGTCCCACTCTCCCCATTCCAGTGTCCCCTGTCCAACTCTTCCACGTCCCATGTCCCCCTGTCACGGTGTCCCCCTGTCCCTCTATCATACCCTGTCACCATTTCCTCCTGTCCCCCTGTCCCCTCTCCCCTGTCACCGCGTGCCCCTGGCCCCCTGTCCCCTGGCACCGTGTCCACCTGTCCTTCTGTCCCCTGTCACCGTGTCCCCCTGTCCCCCTCTCCCCCGTCCCGTGTCCCTCTGTTACCGGTGGCGCACGGCGACCCCCGGGGGGGACCCCGAGAGGAGCGGGGGGTCCCCGGGGAGCCGGCGCTGGGCGCGGCTGCAGGGCTGGAAGCGCTCCTACAGCCACCCCGACACCGGCGACAGAGGTGGCGACAGAGGTGGCGACAGAACCGGCGACAGAGCCGGCGACAGAGGTGGCGACAGAAGTGTCGCCAAGGCCAGCGCGCGGCGCTCGCTGTTCCGGAGGGCGTTCTCCGCGCCCCCCAAGGCACCCAAGGGTGCGGGGGACAGCAGGGGACACGAGGGGACAGCGGGGGACAGCGGGGGACACGAGGGGACAGCGGGGGACAGCGGGGGACACGAGGGGACAAGGGCGCCCCTGCAGCGGTACCTGCGCTCCGTGGGCAGGAGGAGGGGACACGGGGACAGCGCGGGCGGGGCCGAGCTGGAGGGGACAGGTGAGGGGCGCGGGGGGGTTTTGGGGTGGGGGGTTTA